AGAGAAGCCGGCACTGCTGTGTGGCAGCGCGGGGAAGCACGGGGGGTGGCTCCTCCTAACGTGCCTCAAAACTACATTAAAAAATCCAGTTTTATATCCTTTTTCTGCCAAGCCGTCATCTTTAACGTATTTTAACATAAGCGTGCATGTTAGGCCTGCTGTTAATGTTGACACTTACACTGATTGGTCCACCCTATTAAATAACTTAATTAATACTCCTAATATAATCATTGGTTATTTTACTGATCAAAATCTCTGAAATACAAATCAGGGTGGGGAGGATGGGAGAGTTCACAGCAACATTCCTTTGTTTCTATGGTTTCATCCCATAAGAGAACGAGCTGAGAATGTACAATTTCACCCCCTGTACCCATGCCTCCCTGCTCTGTTCTGCCCAGTTTCACCCCCGCAGCGGCTCTGGCTCTGGCCATCTCTGTAAGGCAGCAGCTGCTGTCTCTGAGCATCAGGGAGGGTTTGGGTATTTCTTACCATTATGTAAACTGATCAAATCAGGAAGTTAATGCAAAACGTTAGCCATTCATTAAAGCAATTAAGCTGTTCATTAAAAGCAATTAGTTATCAATGAAAAGTAATTATCTATTCAAAATCCAAACCTGATGATAACACCGTGGGAGCAGTTGGCTGACTGTCCCTGCTCCAGAGTGACCGAGCGTGGCAGTGTCCAACCTGCCCTGAAACCTCAAGCTGCAGGAAGGCAGGAGAGCTACGGAGAGGTTTTGGGCACATTCTGACCTGTGGGTTGAAAGTGGGTGTTTTGGGAAGGGTTTTCCTTGAGGTGTTGTGTTGGTTTTCTCCGCAGGTTGCTACAGTGACAGAATATGGGGCGTTTATAAAAATCCCAGGCTGCAGGAAACAAGGTTTGTTTCTCTTCAGACATAGTGTCGTGTTGGTGCATTTGAGCCAAGCAGTTGTCCTTGGAATTCAAGGCTTGCTAGCTTTGAGAAAAAGCTCAGGAAAGGGTTTTTTTTTTCCTAAATTAGGAAAAAATTGGGATTCTCAGAAATTATTTAGAATATAATGGTTATGTTTGCATGAATACCAGAAAGACTCAAGGATTTTTGGGAAATTCAGGATATTTTGGTGTGGTGTTTTGGTATCTTCAGGATGTTTTAGGGACTCATTTTAAGGTATTGGACAAACTATAGAAACTTGCTGCAATTAAACAGTTTCCCAACGTATTTTATGGGCACTATGAATGAGTTAAAGACTGAAATGAGGCTCAAATCAAAAACAAGCTGGAAAAGCTGACTTCAAGCTCTGTCTACATTGGTGGGAAACCCGCCAAGTCAAACAAACTCATTTTACCAAAGCAGCAGCTTATGGTGGGTGCTCTGGCAGGTGCTGGGGAGCCCACAAGTGACCCCTTCTCCGCTCCCCTCCTCAAGTGCCAGTTCTGACAAAAGTTTTTGGGCAGAAGAAGTGTGGTGGCTGCTGGAGGGCAGTGGCTTTGAGACCCAAACGGGCCCTGAAACGGGAGCAGGAGCAGCAGGGTGTGTCTCCCTGTTTGCCCTCCCTTGTGCACCCCTGCAGCCCACAGGTTCAGTTCAAAGTTGTGCAGGATTTGGCTGTAAATGCTTTTCTTTATTTTTTTTTTGTTTTGAAAGAAGGTGATTAGTCAAACTACGAAACAAGGGCTTAATTTTGTGTGAGATAAGGGAAATGGGTTGAGAAACCTGGTCTTATTTGCATGGTGTAGAAAAACCATGAAAGACTTCACAGACTCTCTTTAGCCGTCTGTGACGTGCTTTTTTATTGTTAGTTTTTGAAGTTTGTTTGTAGAAGTTCCTGCTAATGTCACTCCTGCAGGTTACAAACACAGCTCGGGGGCTGCGTGACCCTGCAGGCGCAGGGGGTCAGGGCAGCCTCGGTGGTTCATGTTTTGGGCTTTGCCAGCAGAGTGTGGTGTGGCTGATGCGTGAAATGGGCTCTTTGGGTGGCCTCAGAGGCCAGGCAGGGAGGATATTCTGAGCACAAAGGCGTTGCTTTGGGGGCCTGCGTCTCCCAGTTCGTTCGGGGCAGATCTCGATGAGCTTTCGCAGGTTTGACTGGTGCAACTGGTTGATTCTCACCTAGTGGTGCTCTGGGAGGAAGGAGGTGGCTCGTTTTGCTTGGGGCAACCACGGAATAGGTGCCCTGGCTCCCAGAGCGGTGGTCTGCTGACGTTTGGGTTGTGCACCGTCAGTTGGGATGAGTTACCCCCATCAGTTAAAAAAATTCTTGAGCACACCCTTCCCAGTATATGTGTATTTATTTATAAATTCTGTGCATGTTGTCAATTCTACTGCTGTTATGTACGTTATAAAACATACTCAGAAAGAGAAATGAACAAAGAATGAGCTAAAGATAAAGTAAGAACTATTTTTTTTTTTAATTTTATTCATTAATAGTACAAAAAACCTTTCTTCCCACACCCCAAAGGATTGTCTGGCATCCACCCCGTGCTGGAAACCGCTGTCCTAGAGGGCAAAACTGACATTTAGTGTCTAGTGTCCTTATTTTCTCCCTTTCTTCTCTTCCAAACCCACAACCAGGCCTCGTCCACAAGACTCACATGTCCTCCTGCCGCGTGGATAAACCCTCAGAGATAGTGGACGTTGGGGACAAAGTCTGGGTGAAGCTTATTGGCAAAGAGGTAACGTTCATTCTCACTTCTTGAGTGCTGTGGAGATAAAACACCCTGCCAAGCCACCGAGAGCTGCTGTGCACCGAGGCTGTGCCCTCCTGTTGGGGTCTGACGGGCTGTGTTACAGACAGCTGGAGTCTCTTTGCCTCCAGATGTGAGTCTGGGCACGTTGCTTCTGTGTCGTGCACCAGTGCAGCTCAGAAAAGGGGACTTTGGAAAAGCTTTTGGCTTGAAAGGGACAAAACGCTTCCCTTCCTTCCCCTGCGCAGCCCTTGGCAGCTCGTGTCCCCGTGAGGGGGTGATTTGGTGGCTAAACGAGCGATTTCAGAGCATCCCGAGACACGAGCTGACACAGACGCGGCTCACTAACTGCTTTGAGAGATGGGCACGTTCTTGGAAGAAGCTGAGGGTTTTGTTTGCTTGTTTTCAGGAAAGTATCAGTGGCAGTGAACTATGCCCGAGAGAAAGTACAGAGACTTTTTTGCTTGGTGGTTGTTAAGCAAGAGCATTGTACACTCTTTTTTTCTCCCCTCACAGTCTGCGTTGCTCTGACTTCTGCACAACAGGCATGTTGCTGGTGTTTAAAGATTACTTGGGGGGGAAAAAAAACCCTCCAGAGCCTTGCTTTGGTGAGCCATGGCAACAAAGCAAGCTGACTGCATTTTGTGGGGCTGGAGATGGAAGCATTCAGTCCAGAGTTGTGCAGGATTTGGCTGTAAATGCTTTGCTTTATTTTTTTTTTGAAAGAAGGTGATTAGTCAACCTATAAAACAAGGACTTAATTTTGTGTGAGATAAGGGAAATGGGTTGGGAAACCTGATCTTATTTACACGGTGTAGAAAAACTATATGAAAGACTTCACGGGCTCATTTTAGCTGTCTGTGACGTGCTTTTTTTATTGTTATTTTTTGAAATTTGTTTGTGAAAGTCCCTGCTAAGCCACTTTCTTCATCTGGAATGCAGTTGTGGGGCTCCTGGCTTCTCTGCTGTAGAGGCAAGGGGCAGAAGCACTTGGGAGCTGGACAGTGGGAGAGCTCCGTGTTAGATTGCTGCAAATAACTGCATGGATGGCCTGAACAGCCAAACCAGAAATACCTTCAATAGCAGCGTTGGTGAAAACGCAGGAAGCTGCAAGAAAGACTTAACACCCCCCCCCAAACAGAAAACTTCTGCTTCTAAAGTCATAATGTGGCAATCAAGGACTTGCAGGATTCAGAAAAAGAGCAGGCCCCTGGTAGAGATACTGAACATATTTTTAGTCTCATGAGGGGATGAAAGTAGGAAAAAGGACGTAAGGTTTTGTTTTTGAGGATGCACGTGGGACAAAGTACTGCCCCAGGGGGAGCTGTCTTGGGGGGGGTGGGGTGATTTGGGGGTTACAGCCGAGCTTCCGAACACGCGCTTCCTTCTGCAGCGCCGGGGGTGGGTGGCATCGAGAGCAGGGCCTGAACCTGGACAGAGCTGTGGTTTGAGCCTGTCTGGTGGCCGAGAGCTGCTGGGCAGGAGCTGGGTTGTTACTGAGGCTGCTCGGCAGGGGAGCAGGCCCCCAGCGCGCTCCTGTCCTGCCTTTCTGGCGCTGCTCTCTGCCCCCCTGACCTCTCCCTCCCGCCCCTGCAGGCCTCCGGGCCCGGCGTCCGCGCAAGCGGCTGTGTCGATGCTTCTTCTCCTCCTCCATGTCTTCCCCTTGCAGGTGAAGGATGACAAGCTGAAGCTTTCCCTCTCCATGAAGGTTGTGAACCAAGGCACGGGCAAAGACCTCGACCCCAACAATGTTTCCCTTGAGTAGGTAAATCTCCTGAGCGGGCTAGAACAGAGCAGGCGGGTGGCTGCTGCCTGCTGCTTCTCCTGCCTTGCTTTCCTGCCGGGGTCCCCCCTCCTTTGGGGGCTCAGGCTCTTCCTGACCCCCCCAGCGACGCAGGGCCCGGCTGGGGGGTTGGCTGCAGGGAGCTCCAGCCGTCAAGTTCCTTCCAGGGCTGTTCCTTCCCCTCCGGGGGTTTGTCTCGCTGTCACATCCTGCGAAATCCAACCTGAACTGCTCGGATGTGTGGGAGCTTCCTTTTTTTTTTGGGATGTTTCTTGCAGGTTGAATCAAATTGCCTGGTTTTCATACTGCGCCTGTGTGTGTGTGTATGCACAGACATAACGCAGGTGTTGGTGTCGAGGAGGTTCCTGCAGTTTGTCTGTTTTGTGTGGAGAGAGCTCAGTTAATCGCAGAAGTAGATGGTGACAGGTAATATGCTGTTCGCTCTGGTTTAGCCCAGTGAGCAGTTGGTCAGCTCTGTTCTATGTTCAGCCGATTAAGTGGTGCTTTTAGAGCAACATTCAAAAAAACTTGGGTTTAGATCGTGTCCTTATAAATATAACAGGTTAAAGATGAAAGAGGCTTAAAAATGGAACTGTCCTCCTCCTCTTTCCAGCCAGGATGAGAGGAAAAAACGCACGTTCAGGGACTACACTAGTCAGAAGATCACGCTTGAAGCTGTCTTGAACACCGTGTGCAAGAAATGCGGTTGCAAAGGTACGTTCCTGCAGCGTGGTCTTGTTCAAACCAGGGAGTGACCTGTGGATGGGATTGTGTCGAAAGCTGTCTCGTGGTTGTGTGTAAGGGCTGAGTTTTGCTTTCACGTGCCTCTAAAAGAGGAGAGCTACATTTTTCTGTCACTTTTTACAGAAAGACCTAGATGAATTCCTCTTGTGAAGGTTTGTTTCTTAAAATCGCATCCTTTGAGCTTCCTTGAAAGAACCTTCCCGCTGAGTACAGGTTCAGTACAGGCTCCCCTCACAGCTGAGGCCTTGCTCTGGGTTTGCACTTTAAGAAACACGAGCCTTCCCCGGCTCGCTCCGTGGTGAAGATCCAGCGGTGGAAGCTGCTGCTCGGGCGTCGGGAGCGCGGCGTTAGCTTGTGAGCAGCGCCTTAGAGCGGGAAACGAGCGCGTGGGGCTTTGAACCTGGTGAAATTCTTGTGGTTTGCCTCGCTCGGGAATAGGAAGGTGGCTTATACGGTGCCTTTTCAGTGGCTTTTTGCGAGCTGCTGAGGTGTCTTTTTTTTTTTGTACGTGGGGTTTTTGCTGCACCCTGCTTGTCTTACTGTATTTAGCTGTAGAGTGAATAGTTAAGCTGGAGTTAATGCTGTTCTGGAGAGGGTTAATAACAAATAGGTTCTCTGCAGTGAACTATCTTTAAGCACTATTTTAAAGAACCCCCCAAAACTTTAAACTGAGTATTTCAAGTCTGCTTTTTAATGATGGAGTCTACTCTTAACAGGCAGGCACGTGCTCTCTGCCTGCAGTTCCCTCTCCAACTGTTAGTAGGTCAGCTTTGATGTCTCCAGAGTAGAAAGGGTAGAACCAGAATGAGCCGATTTCCTCTCTATTTGTGGCTTTAGTCCCATTTCCCCAGTGCCTATCAAACCCATTTACTCCCTTAAGCCCTTGCACAGGCACGTTTCTACCGGTTGCCCTGTTCAGACAAGAGTGTCTCAGGTTTTGCCTGACTAATCTTTCCCCAGTGACCCGGGTTGTGTTTGCTCCCTGGCTTGTTTAATCAGGGCACGCTAAACTAGCCGAAACGCTGGGACAAAAACCGTGCAGCGTAGATTCTATCAGTGTGACTAATAATAAAAAGATCATTGGCAGCACCTCAGGTGTCTGAAATGTAGTTGTTAAAAAAGAAAAGGGGGGTGGGTTGCTCCTTCAAACACTATTTTACAGGTCACTTTGCCAAGGAGTGTTTCGTGCAGCCTGGAGGTACCAAATATAGCCTCATCCCAGAAGAGGAGGAAGAGGAGGTGGCAGCAGCAGGATATGAGAGAGAGAAAAAGACCAGCACGGCTGATGAGTCCTCAAAAAAGAGAAAAAAGGTACGGGGTGCCCTGCTGCTGGCCTGGAGGAGCGAGCCAGATGGTCTGTTCTGCACAGTTACACTGGGGTTTACGATAGCAACGTGGCTCCGAGTAGCCCGTTCTGGGCTGAGAACGTGGCTCGGGTTTGTGCAGGTTCTGTAGCAAACCAGGAATCTCCTCTGCAGACTTTTTACTCATTCTTACGCTTTCTGCCTTTATTCTGTCTTCAAGATGGTTCTGTGCTGTAATGCACAGTCCTCGAAGCAGACTTCTTACCGTGAGAAAAGGATCTTTATTTCTTGGACTTTCTAGGGCTCTATACAAATCACTTCAGCTTCCTGAATTTCTGTGCTTCTTGCCAATAACCCCGTTTCCCCTCCCTCCCCGCTGCTCTTGCCCCAACGCCTGCCTTTCATCTCCGCTGGCCGCCCTGCTGCAGCGGGCAGCCTGACCCGGGCAGCGCGGCAGGAGCTGGGCTTATCTGCGCTGGCTGGGTTTGCCCCGGGCGCGGATGTCAGAGACCTTTTGTGGCCAGTGTTTGCCTTCTGGCTTCAGAGCGCATTGGTGTGAAACCAAGGGGAGACCTGAACCCAAACCAGGAGCGTTTGGGGGTCGGTCTGGGCGTCCACCACTGAATATTCCCGTTCCAGCCTTCAGCAAATAAACTTTCATCACCCCCTTCACAGCTGGCGTCCAGTTCCCTTGTGCTTCCAAAGCCCTTTTTGCTTTTTCTTTTCTTTTTTTCTTCTTTCTCTTTCCAGCCCTGTGGCCTGCCTATCCCTGGAGAGGGCCAACAGGCAGGAAAGGTGGTAGGTTTCCTTTTTACAGGAGAGGGACAAGGACATTAGCAATTGCCTAGTGAGAATGGATTTCTGAGGGCTTAGTTCTCCCAGGCTCATGCTGAAGTTAAACCAGCACTGGTGCTAGTAGGAGAGAGACTGGAGGTGCTGGTCCCAGGGACCGGAGGAGTCAGTTTTGATGGCAACACTCAGACCACTCCAGTGGTAGCTGAAGTCTCACTTCCAGTCACGTTTTCCACTGGTATTGTGGTTACTGGCGCTTTGGTGCACTCCTGCTGGAGAGAGGAGTGGTTTGGGCTCTTTGTGGGGTTGCAGGTGGTGGCTGCACCAGAGGAGAAGAGGCAGGAGTGGTGACTTTCCTTGTCACCTCAGCCCCTGCCCTGTGGCCTGTCCGTTTCTGCCCTACAGTTGGTACAAAACGAAGGCAGCGTTAATTTGAGGCCTGATTTGCAGTTCTTGGTTGCTCAGTAGTGCCCTGGACAGCCGATCCGGTGGCGGGAACAGCATCTCTCTTGCCTGTGGATCCTGTTGCCTGGTTCCCTCCTGAGATGGGCTTTGCTTTTCCACGACAGGCTCGGTGCACTTCTCCCCGGGGTGGTTTTGCGATGGTCGTTGGGGTTGCATCGGAGCTGTGACCCGGGGCGGCCTCTCGGCAGGCCCTGCTGCCCCTTTCCCCACCCTGGGAAAGATCTGCTTGGAGATGGTGATGCCTCGTCATGTAAAAACCACACCTTTGTGATTGTTCGGTGTGCAGTGACTTGTACTTCATCAAGCCTTAGTCCCTTCTCGCTTGCAGCTGGTACTTGTTTTACGAGTTCTTGAACTCCTCTGCGGAGCGGTGTTACGCTGCGGTGGAAAACACACAGCGTCTGCGTTCTCGTCTGATGGCGGGACCCCGTGGCTGGAGCGGGTCGTGCCTCGGATCCCCGGGTAGCTGCGGCCCTGACCTCTCTGGGCTCCTGACATGGGGCTCCTCCTGCCTCGGGTTCTCTTCCCTCTAGCAGCGATGGTGGTTTGTCTGGTAAAGGCTCGTGTAGCTGTTCTGGAAATGCTGTGGGGAAAAATTACACCGAGGTGCAAGAAAAATCACATCAATTATCAGTGCCTGCCCACCAGGAGGGGGATTCCCTGTGGAGTCTTGCCCTGCTGGGACGACAGGATATGTGGGTCACTGTCCTGAATTTGTTGCTAATATTTTTGGGGGTCTGTGGACGAACAGTCTTCCTTTAAATCTTGTTCCTTTGATCTTCCTCCCTTCTCAAGGAGAGGAGATCAAAAGTTTTCAGATGTTTCCCAGTGCTGGAAAATAAAAACTTTGAGCTTTTTGGAGGCAGGATGTGGGATCCTCGATGAATAGCTCCCTTGTTATCTCGAGTGCCTGCTGTGATCTTGTCTGGGAGCCACCGTGTGCTTGCCTGGAGCCCCAGGGGGATTTACAAGAAGCGGAACTAGCTCAGTCTACCTCCTAACAACTGCCTTGCTGACCCCCGTCCCATCCGATGCTTGTGACAGAAATGTCGAGCTTAGGTTTTTAAACGAGTAGAGAGGGGACTTCTCCCTGCCAAGCTTCCTTTTAGTGTCACAGCAATGGTATTAACGTGTGGTGGTTGCTCGTGATCAAGGTTTTCTGTTCCCTCGATCCGATGCTTCCTTGCAGTTTCTGGGTGCTCTTTCCTCTCCTTGCAGAGATGCTCTGGGGTCCTCACCCCCTTTTTTTTTTCCCTCACCTTGCCTTCCCAGCAGTTCCTCGCTTTCTCCCACCCGCGCCCCACAGCATTTGCAGGACTTAGACAGCTGTAGGCCTGGGGTCTGGTGTGACCGTGGGCACAAGTCTTCCTGGTGACAGATCCCCCTGTTAGAGCTCTGCCCCGTCACCCCTGAGCAAACCAGCCCTGGGGGGGGGTGGGAAGCAGAGATGCCCCCCGTGCGCTGGGGCGTGGGGTGAGGGAGCTCCTGTGGGAACTGCCTGTGCTCGGCTGGCGTGGGAGGGAGGCGTGCTGAGCAGAGACGAACCCTTCTCAGCCGCCTTCCTCCTCTGCCTTTCCTGGAAAGGTCTGCAGTTTGGACAGCAGGAGTAACCCCTTTGATTTAAACTCTACCAATCCGTCTTCTGCTCGGTGCACTTCTCCCCGGGGTGGTTTTGCGATGGTCGTTGGGGTTGCATCGGAGCTGTGACCCGGGGCGGCCTCTCGGCAGGCCCTGCTGCCCCTTCCCCGACCTTGGAAAAGATTTCCAGGCAATCTGCTTGGAGATGGTGATGTCTCGTCATGTTAAAACCACACCTTTGTGATTGTTCGGTGTGCAGTGACTTGTACTTCATCAAGCCTTAGTCCCTTCTCGCTTGCAGCTGGTACTTGTTTTACGAGTTCTTAAACGGCATTAGCTTAGGGCACAGCTCCTCACACGCTGGGCTGTTCTCTTGCTGTCCCTCTCTGTGCTTTTCTGAACACCACGGTATTTATTTAATGGCCATGGGCTGGATTCTTCTCATCGGGTTAATTCTGACTGGTCCTCAAGGGGCTGCGATAATGCCTTTAGATTTATGTCATAAATCTTGTTCGGAATTAAACTGGGTGCTGGGGTTTAAGTTTTAGTGGGTTGTTTTTTTCTTTTTAAGAAAGCCCCTGGAGGGATTACTGGCACCTCTCTGGAGGTGCAGAAGGACACGTATCTGAAAATCCATTCTAATTTTTCACAAGGACATAAAATCTATAAATGAGACCAGAACTCCGCAGAAGGGTCTGGTGAAACTTCTTGGGAAGTTCCGGACACTCCCCTCTTATCTCAAAATCAAATACTTTTAGAGGGAATGAACTGTTGTAACACTCTTAAAGCATAGCCCGGAGCAACTTTCCTTACAAAGGACGGGGGGAGCCTGAAGTGTTCCCTCCTAGTGCCAGCTTTTTAAAAAGGACTAGAGCAGGAAACCCAGCGCTATCAGGCTCTAGCCCAGCCTGTTGCTCTTCTGCACGCCAGCTCCCAAGGCGGGTTCTGTAGAGGGGAGGTTTTGAAGGAAGTTTTTGTTCTGGTTTTGGTAGAATTGTAATCGTTGCATAAATGGGACAGGACACGCAGTGAGCCGTAGGGTGCAGCTCTGGGTACCTGCTGGCGCGCTCCGCAGCTTCACGCTGCGACTCTGCTTGGGCAAAACCCGCTCAAAATGTCGACACGAACGCGGCGTTCGCAGCTCTGGGGGGTGCCTGGGGGTGCCCCAGAGCGGAGCTGGGCTTCGTCCAGCAGTAGCCATCGGTGCTGGAGCCCAGTTTGCAGCTCAGGCGGCAGCAGGGCTTTGCTGGTGTTGCTGGAGGCAGAAGCCTTTGCTTTGGCACTGCCCTCTCCCCGCCCTGTAAACGGGAGAAACGCTCCCGCGAGTCAACTGGTAACCAGCTGGGTGCTCGTCTCCCAGTACTGTGATGCTGGAGTTGAAAGGAATCGGTGGTCTGGTGGGAGGATGTTGCTTGTGCAGGATGGCTGCACAGCAGCACGGCCTCCTGCCACAGCAGGCCTGGAGCTCTTCTCTCGCTGGCCTGCTCCCTGCGGTGGTGCTTCCACTGCTGCCCTGGAACTGCCTTTTCTGTGGTGGTGCGAGCGGGTCGTTGTTAGAAGCCCCCCAAAAATGGGACGCTGAGGTTTCTCCTCAGGCAGCCCGATGTTCTCATGTGTGCTTTTCTTTCCCCTGTAATCCTGAAGGAACGTGTGCGACATCCTGTCCTGTCCCCAGCCTTCACGCGCTGAGGAAGTTTCCCAAGCTCTGGAATGAAACTCGGTTCGTCGTTAAGGTCTTGTCAAACTTTCTCACCATGTGCAGAGGCTGGAAAAGCTTGAGAAAATTCTCCTTGCTGCAGCCCTTTCTCTAGAAGATTTAACTCTTTACCATCCTCCTCTTCTAAAGACTGTTACGGTTTGCTTCTGCCCTTCATCTGTGAGCTTTGTAGTGCGTCTGGTAGCGTCCCCCAGAAAAATTCTGGGTGACATCAATGATCGTAGCGCTGCTGTGGAGCTACAAGAAACTGATACCTGCCAAGGGTCTGCTAGGTGTGAACTCCGACCTCTGCTCTCTTCCCTGGAGTCCTGGAGGACTCTGCTCAATGTTCAGCTCCAAGCCATGCGTTGTCTTTGCTCTTCCACCTCCCTACATGAGTTGTTCTGTTGGAGTACGCTACTCGCTGCCTTCCTGGGTGTCCCTAATCGACAGCCTGTACCTGGCACTATGACACAGCCTGTGCTGAAC